CATGCTTTAGCTTTAGACGAAGGCACCGACAGTGACAAGTTTCGCCACTCTCTCGAGTTGCGATGTTCGGCCCGAAAAGCTTTTGTGGAGGCCGACAACTGCAGTAGTCTCAGAAGAGCTCTCCTCCGAAGAAGTAGACCCTTAAAGGAGCCCTATGAGATTGGGGATTGGGTACTTTATTGGAAGCGTGTTGGGGGAAACATGAGACGTGAGCGAGGGAGGTGGTATGGCCCAGCGCGTGTGACAATGACAGAGGGATCCAAAGTGATCTGGCTGTCACACGCCAATAAACTGATCCGTGCCAGTCCTGAACAGTTACGTCCGGCGTCCCATCGGGAATGGAAGAAGGTGCTTCAAAGTGAAGAAGCCAAACATACCACTAGGGAATGGTTGAGTAGAGCCCAGTATCAGGATTTCTTTGATTTGGGAGATGATATCCCTGGTGCACAGGATGTTGTTCAGCTTGATGATGGCGTGTGTGATGACACCAGCCTTCCAGAACCCGAACAAGTTCCAAGCACACCATCTGAATCTGAAGGTGTTGCTGCCTTGCCTGAACTCAACCCGAATTTACAGGAGCATCCAGTACCAGGAACAGGGAATGACCCTCTCACTGCTCCGATTCCTGAAGCCGCCCCTGGGGAATTGTCTGGGGAGGAGACTGCAATGTTTGGTGATTGTTTGTTTTGTGATGAAAGGGGTAGTAAGAGGGTTTGGGAAATTGACATCACCCCTGAAGATGTAGGTAGTGGCGTTGGTTTTGGGGAGGGGTGTACTGCTGATGAGTATGTTTTCCTGGTATCTGAGATGCGGAAGAAAAGGGTTGAGGTGAAACTCCGTGACCTGGGCGAACATGACCAGCGTTTGTTTGCAGCTGCCAAAAACAAAGAAATTGGAGCATGGTTACACCACAAGACTGTTAGGAGGGTTGTTGGTGGAAAACTGCCTGAACATGCTCTGATGCGCTGTCGCTGGATTTTGAATTGGAAAAGTGCAACCGGCGATGAATCTCCAACGGAGCTGTCATCGGAAGGTCTGAGAGCTAAGGCTCGGTTGGTTGTCATTGGTTTTGAGGACCCTGGGATTGACACCGTCGCTAATGATGCCCCAACTTTGACCAAGGATGGTAGGATGGCTGTTTTACAAACCATTTCCTCAAATCGCTGGGAACTGACTTCTTTCGATATCAGCACGGCCTTTCTGCATGGCAAGGGTGACGGAAGGCCATTGGGGTTACATCCACCACCTGAACTTAGGGAAGCTTTGGGAATGGAGGAAGGAGACCAGTGTGCTTTGGATGGGGGGGCTTACGGTCGCATCGACGCTCCATATCTTTGGTATTGTGAGTTTCGGGATGAATTGGTCCGACAAGGATGTACCCAATGTCCTCTGGATCCCTGTGTTTTTGGATACTATTCCAAAAACAAGGCTGGTCAGCTGCAATGTCACGGCGTCATTGGCATTCATGTCGATGATGGAATTGCCGGCGGAGACAAAGAGTTTCAGGCCATGATCAAAAGGGTGGAAACCCGATTTAAGTTTGGAGCCTTTGAACGAGGGGAATTCAAGTATACTGGGATTCATTTCAAGCAGTGGGATGATTACAGTATTGAGTACGACCAGATTGCTTATATTGAAAAGATTTCCCCGATTTCAATTCCAAAGGTCCGTCGTCAACAGACAGATTCTGAAGTTTCAGAGTCTGAGCGGACTGCACTTCGTAGCCTGGTTGGGGCTCTTCAGTATGCGGCGGTCCACACCAGGCCTGACATATCGGCCAAGGTAGGGGAGCTTCAGTCGATGGTCTGCAAAGCGACCGTGGCTGAGTTGATCACTGCCAACAAAGTTTTGTCGGAGTCCAAACAGAATCCGGTATCTCTTATGGTGCTTCCAATTGCTCCTCAAGATGTTACTTATTGCGCCTTTTCGGACGCCTCCTTTTTGTCCAACAAACAGAACAGTGCTCACCAGGGGACACTGATTTTTGCAACGACCCCCGAACTCCTTGGGAATAAGAAAGCTGTTGTTGCTCCAGTGGCATGGACAAGCAAGCGCGTGCCGAGGGTAGTTCGGAGCACATTGGGTGCTGAAGCTGCAGCGCTATGCAACAGCATAGATCGTTTAATGTGGATTCGAGTGTTTTGGGCCTGGATGAAAAATCCTGAATGCAACTGGAAACAACCGGAGAAACTCCTTCAAAGTGAAAGAACATCGGCACTTGTGACTGACTGTAAGAGTGCTTACGATCTTTTGACTCGGACAGCAGTCCCTCAATGCTCGGAGCACAGAACAACCATAGAGTGTCTTTTGATTAGGGAACGTCTCCGGGAAAATTGTGTTGCCAGGTGGGTCTCTTCCCAAGCTATGTTAGCTGGTTGCCTCACAAAATCCATGGATTCTCAAGTGCTTAGGGAATGTCTTAAGACAGGGAAGTATGTTTTGCAGGATGAGAGCCATGTTTTGAAAGAAAGACTTGACCGAAGGCAGCGGCTAAGTTGGGTGAGAGATCAAGGAAATAACTCTGAGACAACCTCGGAGTCCACTGTTCCATGTCTTACCAGTATCCAAGTTTTGAACTCTCCGTCATTGCATGACTTTTGGATGTGGGGTTCCGAGAAGGAACTGGTTCGTGTACATCAAAAACCCAGAACAACAAAGTTTACTCCTATTGGGATTGTTGATTGTCCAGTAGACATTCGACAACTTAGTGCTAGAAGGGTTACTAAGTGTGGGAATAGGACTGAAATGGATTACTGGGTTGGAACACGAGCCTACCAAAAACAGGAATATCCATGGACAGGGACAACCACTTTCTATTTGGTTTAAAAGGAGGGTTTCAAATGATAGAGAAGGTGTGTCAAACTCCCCTGGTTTGGAACCTTGTTCATGGATGCCTGGACATTCCGCTCGGCCTCAACGACATTGCCGGCATCTTGCCGCCATTTTTCCACCATGAGCGGTGGGTGGGAGAGGAGCCATAGGCACGGCATCTTGGAGAAAAGACAGGGTCTTGGTTGGGTAGGAACCCCTTAACTCTAGGGTAGAGATTCACAATATATATATATATATACATACATACATATTACATGCTATTTTAAAAAATATATGTATACTGTATATATATATATATACACATTCAGGGAAGCAAAGACCAGCCCTAGATCAGTAGGGTCTAGATCAGTATGGTTTATTTTTGATAGGAAAAATCTACATAAGAGCTTTAGTATTGCCCTGATTCCCCAAAAGTCAGAAACAACATGTTTTCTGACAAAAACCTAAGGTTTTTTGAATTTGAAACATTCGAGAAAATTTGGGATAGGTAAAAGAGTTTAAAGTTACACTCTGGTAAACTAACATAACTATGGAAAATCACCATTTTTAATGGGAAAACTCACTATAAATGGCCATTTTCAATAGCTATTTTGACATAACCAGAGGGTATCAAGTGATCAAACTGCTTTTGGAGCCTTGTGAGCCAAAGATCAGGATTGACAAGTGATACAAACCAGTCAGTGCAAGGTCACCCCACCAAAAAACAGCAACAACAACAACAACAACAACAACTGCACCAACACATATATATATATATACATATTACATGTATATATATATATATTACATGTATATATATATATATAAAATAGATATAATGTAAACAATGTTTTTTCTCTGGAGTCCAACAATTTTGAAAACATAATTGTTTTGTGTTTTTGCGGTTATTTCTTGGGCTGGCCCAGGATTTTTTTTTTAATGTTTGAGGTTTGTTTGGATTTGTGTTTGGATATTATATTAAAACAAATATATTACATAGTATATAATTATGTCATTTTAAAAAATGTGTACGTATAAATGTGTTCACCTAGACCTCCAAATAGCATGGAAGGTATGGGTAAAACACAGCTGTTTTAAGATATTTTAAGGGGTACTTGGAGGGTCTAGGTATATAGAAATTGTGCTTCTACCTTTTTTTCCCTATGGTGAACATTTGTTAACATGGATTTAATTTAGAATTAGTAGCTTAGTATGTTGTGGGTTGATATGGGGTCAATGTATGTTGAAGTGGAATTAATATGCATACGGGTTTTGTATGGAGTTGACATGGGGTTCATATTGGATTACTTGACGCTAGTTGCTAGTTGTGGATAGTTGTGGAACATCATCCCAAACATGGCCCATCAAATCATCTTAAATCAGGTTTACGAGTCGCAATGATCCACTTCGCACAGGTAAATAACTCCAAAATACTTTATGTAATATATATATATAAACTATAATAACTTTATATATATATATATATTTGGATACTCAGGAAACCAACAGGTAAACAAACGTAATTTAAACAGCAAAAAAACATATTCTATATATATATATATGTATATGTATATGTGCACCATGCATGAGATTTCACTACCAAAGCATATTACTCAGGTAGGTTCATGACAAATTGTATAGTAATGATCTGAGATACATGGTTGTCAATAGTATTTCATACTATTTGTCTATGGTTGTATCTGAGATATAATGACGACCATATGCGGGTCTCCCCCAAATCTTGGGAGCGTATGGGAGCCTCATGTACCCGTTGCTGCTATGTAAGTCCTGTACGGCGAACTGGGTCACCAAATGGCACCATGATCAATATTGAAATATCTAAAGGATGCTTTTAAATCATGTTAAATAGACTAATCATCATCAACAAATGGTATATATTCGCAATTTTTAAATGGATGTTCATCCCCAAAGAAAATATGAGCAGTGTTCAAAACCCCGGTTGGATGATGATTATTGTAATCCCCCCAAAAAAAGCGGATTATAATCCAAGAACGGGAAATCCAAAAAAAACATATGGTAAAACATAGGATCCTATGTTTTACCATATGTTTTTTGTTGGGATTCCCCTATGTCAGCTATATGTGAATGGGGACGAGCTCTCCAATAGGGTAACATGCATCCATTCACAGCTCTTCATCCATTTTGAGCTGCCCGCAACGCAGCCCCGCCTGCTGTCCTCGAGCCCAAAGAAACGCAGCAACTCCCTGCAATCGTCCTCCGCTGAGCGGAACGCCTGGCGAAAAACGAAGGACATCAGACCACTCAGATCCAATCAAACTTGTTTGATTGACCAAGATTCCAGCTATTGTGCTTACAGTATGTGACATTACCAACATCAGCATGATACTAGCAATGTTCAGTCATCTTTAACCATGTTTAATCTGATCATATCAACTCGGCAATGTTCAAACATGTCTAACCATATCTTTACCATGACCCAAATTTAACCATCATCAGCATCCAAATAAGAGTCCGCCAGATTTCGCGTGATTTCTCCAGATAGGATTCGAACATCAATTTCACCATCCCTTAAATTAGACATCTCATTTCAGCCGGGAGTCTACTATATATATATATATTATATACAGTACACCTCATGTTCAGACACCATCAAACACCATGAAACCCCAATATTCAGCCGGGTGAGTTGTCCCCATGATCCCGGCCAGTCCCGGCCAGTCCCGGCGATCCCGGCGCCTGCTCAAAGCGGTTCACATGGCGCGCTAAGGTCAGTTCTAACTGTGCCAGAGTCTCAACACCTCGCGAGGCGCCAAGTTGGGTTCCTTTGGCATCGATGTTAGAAAAAAATCTGGGCGTATATAATTGTTTACATATTATATATATATATATTATATATAGATGATAACATTGTATAACATACGAGTATCTGTAGATACGGCTAAGATACAGCTATTTCCTGACTTTGATTTGATGTTAACACATGAAGAGTATGTTTAGCTAGGTAGTCAGGTATCATACTTCTATAATTCTATACATTTCATTTTGAATCTAGGTGAATCCTCCATTCGTGGCAATGGCCTAAACCCCTATCCGACCATTCGGTTTATGTACCTGGGGATTGGTTGAAGCTGGCTTACACCTATGTAAGTAATCTACAAATATCTACATTTCAGATCTACAATTATAATATTAGATCAGGCATCTACATATCTACAATCGATGTGATAAGTAGATATTGATTTGTAGTACATATTATATGATCAGATCTACTAATATCTACTTATCACATATCTACATCTCATGATCATATTACAAATATACAATTACCTGATGCTGTCGTTTGTGGTTTGTACAAAGCCCATCCTTCATAGCGTCTGTAGGCGACTTGTTCAGCTTCTACATATATGATATGATCAGGATTGATCAGATTGCTTTGGCTCAAACATCAGCTACCGCTAACCTCAACATTGCGCCTTTGCGCCAGGTCCTCAAACAAACCCACAATTTGGCAACTGCCAACTAGACAAATTTCTATACGTTTAGAACCTCCAAGTACCCATAAAATCCCATAAAAATGTATGCGATTCCAAAATTTCAATACGTTTTACATGTTTTTAGTGGTATATATTTTGAGGGTTTAGGTATAGATGCCAAGTACACCCAACATGGATAAGCATGAGATGGTTACCGACCAAAGTTCTTATCTAAAATTTGGATCTCAAGTGTCAATAATTTTGAGCCAAACTCGGTCCATCCATTGTCTTGATTTATGTTTATCTGAACATATGGGACCCCGGAACCCAATGATTTATCATCATGTTCCCGGTTACCTTCCGCTTATTTAACGCAGCTATGGAAAATCACTATGTTTGATAGCTAAATCATCATTTGTATCATCGAACTATATAAATGGCTTCCAGGTCGCATGTGAAATAACCAGATGGTAAATGTAAAAAACATGCTATGCAAGTGACTTTTGAGAGGTGACTCACCTATAAAACATATCTAAAAAATGGTGACTTTCCGTAGCTACGTTATAACCAGAGGGTAAATATTAAATCCCCTTACAGTAAATCACCATATAGATCCCAGATAAATCATGATAAATCATCATTTTGGGGTATACCGAACTTTTAGACAACACCTTTGGTAATTTAACATAGCTATTGAAAATGACCATAGAAATAGTGGATTTTCCCATTAAAAATGGTGATTTTCCATAGTTATCTTAGTTTACCAGAGCGTAGTTGTCACGGTAAATTTCACTGCCCATCACTGGGACTGGCGGACGATTCTCGCGCGGACTGGCCGTTGCAACGGTCTCATCCTCGGAACTTGGCCTCAGTTAGCGACGGAACGTCAGGGGCTACCTGGGATGATGGCTAAACACTCGCGGAAGGATGGGATATGTCATGATGTGTCTACAAACAATATATATATATAATGTATTATTATATATAGTATATTATACATTGTACATTGTACATTGTACATTACATTCTAAATGGTACATATATCATATATAAATATCATATGAAAATCATATGATATATTACATATTACATATTATATATTACATTCTACATATCATAAAAACCATATCATATATTATATTTTAGTGTTATTTTGATGATGACTATCATTATTACATATTATATGACAAGAATATATGTATTATATATATATCATGAATCAAATACTATATATCAAACAATATGGATTATATTTTATGTATTATATTATATTATAAAATTATATGATTATATGATACATGCTGGGATATATATATCATCTATTATATACTAACAACTATATATTATATATTATAATAATATAACAATAATAATAATAATAGTAATAATAATAATCATAATCATAATCATAATATATATATAAGGCCATGAATACCCATCAACTTGGCATTCAGAAGATGGTTCTTTTCTCCAGGGTCCCGTGTGTCCATGTCCAAATGATTGGTGACTGGGGGATGGCAAATCTATAATGGGGGATCACCATGATAAACATACCATCTATAATAAACATCTATTATTGTTTTACCAACATTATTCATCTGTTGGTGATTTCAACCCCTCTGAAAATATTAGTCAGTTGGGATTGGGATGATGAAATTCCCAATATATGGAAAGTCATAAAAGCCATGTTCCAAACCACCAGCCAGTTAATGTTATGGCTGTACCCATCACTGGGATTTACTTGTAGCCATGGGATGGAAAAATGACGTCGTTCAAGGTATCCAGCTGTTTCAGCTGTTGCTGTCGGATCTCAAAGATGGACGCATCATCTTCGATGTAGCCCTTGGATGTTTACTGTGAAAAACCTCAACTCAACTTTCAACATCTCAATAACCACAATCATTTTCTGGAAATCACATTTCAAGCAATGGAAATAGTAACATGATTTATGCATGCATCTATGTTCTTCCAAAACTCTTCTTTTTTTGAGGCTGCACCTTAATTCGATGGGGGTTCAATAATTCAACCACTCCAATTCGGTTGAATCCCCATGATACGTATGGGCCGATTTTGTCTCTCCACATCGAAAGAAAAATCCACGGCTTCCACGGCCAAGCTTCTCCTCTGCAATGGGCGACTGGGGATGCACCTGGCAGGCCGAAATTCACAAGTTTTCTCTGAAGCATTTGAGGCTATGATGCTATGAAAAGTGCTATTTTTCATAGGGTATAATAGGACAATCATGGCACTAAATGAGCAATGGCTTCTATAGCTATGCTGGTATACTGGAGGGTAGGTATCAATATACTATCATTATCCCTATGTTGGTACCCCTATCCAATCCTGTTTGTTTGTTGCTTAATAGGCATCTCAGTGAAGTGGGCAGGAATAAACATGTCCAATAGACCAGGTTCCAGAACCATTTTCGTAGCAACCAATCACTGGTTTGCATTTTTACATGGTGCGGGGTCAATCACTTGTCAATCCAAACATGGAGTACCCGTGTACATCCGTGTACCATGTGAAAGCTGAAGTCCTGAATGAGCATCATAAACATTAAACCATAAAGGGATCATCATAAACCATAAACGGATCAGCATAAACATTTCAACCAGTAAGATCATCATAAACCATAAAGGGATCGGGTATTCAGCTCCTGTTTGTTGTTGGTCATAACCGGCTGGTGACCAACCATGACTCTGGTGACCTCGCCTTCCACTGCGGGAAGTCCTCAAAAATGGCGGAAGTGTTTAACGTGGCAAGTTTCACAACATCAAGCAGAGTTTAAGCTAACGATATCTGAAGTAATGTGTTTCTGGTTAGGTTGGTTAGTCACCAAGCAATCCAAGCAGCAATGTCACCTCTTAATGTCCTTCAGGCATTTCACCAGACTGAATCTGGCCAAAGGCTTTCTCATCAACATTCAGATATTCGTGTCAAGCGGCACTCAATGGATCCATAGCGTTACGCCCTTTCTCGGGCATCTGAGCACCAAAATATGATGCCTCCCTCCTCTACCAGTTGCACCCAGTCCTCGTTCTTTTCCCTCTCCGTCTCCGCCTAGAGTGTGCCAACTCCAATATGTGTGGGGATTGGCCCAAACACCACAAGTCTATTTGGAGACGTTCGCATAATTACTAGGGCGGTGGTGTTTACCATAAAGGTTCCCAACTGGGAAACGTCCAATTGAAACAAAGGACGAGTTTCAGGTCATTTCGGCCTCCGCCTCGCATTTCAGGGAAAGTACCCAGCAACTTGTTCATTTGATGCCTCCACATACTCCACTATATTTCATCATAAATGCATCGAAGCTGGCAGCTGTACCCCTGAAACATTCATAGGAAATGGCGAGTACACGGCCTCATAAAGACCATAAAGAGTGTTACTGAGATGACCACTGAAGTTAGGAAAGCTTGTTAGCGACTGGCTCTTCGTATTCTTACATCCTTCAAATGGTGACCCTGGTGCTGTTGCTGGGTCAATTGTAGTCGCATCAAGGGCTTGGATGGCCATCAATTGAAGGACTTTGAACAAGAGGACTTTGTAGCTGTGCAGTATAAACAAACATCTGGCCGAATTACAATAACTAACTAACGATAACATACGACTGAAATAAGGTTGTTTGATGTCGTTTGAGGAACAGTTTCCCTTTCTAAGCAATCATTCCAGGGACGTCACGACCTGAGGTCATGATCAGATTCATCAAACACCAAACAAAAGATGTGTTCAAGGCCCGGAAGTCGCCCAAGCTGGCTGCCACGTACTTGGTGCTTTCAAACCCTCTGAAAACATCTGAAAACTCTGGGGGATCAGAAATGGGATCATAAAACAATGGGACCCCCATGGTATCCCAATCCAATGGTTGACGCCCAGACAAGGCGGGCCCGCCCAGCTACAAGTTGGCTTATAGACCCTATTAGTATCTGTTAATTACAGAAACCATCAGAAACCATGGTTATACAATGTTTTAACCCTGGTTATACAATGTTATAATGTTATATAAGCAAGACATGAACAAACTTAGCTATCTACCGGGGCTCCACCCTGTATCTGAAACCACCTGCTCTCGGGAGTTCCCCGCACCTCTCGGTTTCGATGGACCGGAGATGACGCCTTCGGCCGTCCAGCTGCTTTTTGGTCATCGCCAAATAACAGGTTTCAGGAAGGGCCCCCTATATAGGTAAGTCAGCTTATAACTTGGTTGACCTGGGGTGTACAATGGAAGTAGAATTGGATGGATACTGTATATACCAACACTTCTCGAACTTAACAGACCCTTCCTGTAATGACAAGAAACCAGCCACTATATGACATACCAACAGATCCTTGAAAATCTCACTTCACTTATAAACAGATAACCCCCAAGCACCAGCCATGGCCATCGCCGCAGGTCCTGGGACCCTTCGGATCGATCGAGAGAGGAAAAGTAGTCAAACCAGCGCTGGGCATCGCTGATGTCCTGACAGGTCAGCTGGGTGTGATATCCCCTGATATCACTGGAATAGCCTCCAGCAATTTAACATATAGTATATATATAAATATATACACATATATACATATATGCATATATACATACATATATATATATACATATATATATACATACATACATATATATATATATTGTAGCTATATGGAACATGGTCCATTTATGGATGATTTACCTATTAAACATATTTGAGAATGTTGCTTTTCCAAAGCAGTTTTAAATGACCAGAAGGCATGTTTTTGGTTTAAATTTAAGTGAAATCTATATATCTAAGATCGGCCAAGTTTGGGTCTGGTTCTGCCAGTGCTTGCCCCATCTTCGGTTGGCTATAAATCTTAAACAGCCTTCAAGGCGATGATTTGTCAACTTGCCATCCATAGCCACATGATATGTTTTTACATTTTTTCGACATGGACATGCATCAAATACTGATCTGGCGATGGCGGGAGTTTAATCATCCAACATGATACTTCCTCCATGTAGTATTGGTGACCATAATCTGCATGTCACAACAACTAGTCAGGGTTTCTGCCAGGAAGGGAATGGGCCATCACAGCCATTCCAAAGATACTTGCCGACATTGTTGCATCCGGGGTAAAAATGTGTGAAACCTATTTAATATTTGCTGTTTGGTGGTTTCCTCTGAAAAATATTAGTCAGTTGGGAGGATTCTTCCCAATATATGGAAAAATAAAAACTGTTCCAAACCACCAACCAGTCTGTGAAGACATTATGTACTGCCTTCCCAGACATATGAAATCCCTCCTTGATGTTAATTGGTTCCTCCCCCTCGGCGCCAAGCAGGGTTTCCAAGGTGGTTTTTCTTCCCATGATTCCACGATGTCCCGCTCCTGACAACCGAAATTCCAGAGCTCCTCTTCCTTTACCAGCTGAAAACTCCTGCGTCGGAGTCCGAATGGCAGCTCCACAAAGAAATTTTTAGCGAGTCCATGGCACGTTTTTCATAAAGCATCTCAACTTCTTTTAAAACCAATGTTTATGGATACACTGATTTTTACTTTGCTGATAAAAAAAAACTGGGTGCTTTAGATTGTCTGAATAATATTGTCAATAAAACTGATACACTAATTATAGATACACTAATCCAATGATGGTGTTTTTTTTGTGGTGTGGACATGTTTCAATAGTTTTGTTGTCGCGAAAAACTCCATTCAGAATCCATCCAGAAGGCTCCCCATGTTTCATGCAAAAATTGTCTATAGGTCAACCCTGTCTCCACGAACGTTGATGGGTCAGATGATCTATAAATTCTATAAATGATGGGAAATCCCATAGTCTTAATGGAAAATCCCATAGTTTTAATGGGAAATCCCATAGTCTTAATGGGAAATCCCATAGGAAATAACGAATTGGTTCTTCTCCGGGCAATATATCCTTTCCGAATCTCCAATGTTTGACATCTTACGGCTCTTTCGTGAATTGCTACCTCACGGTTTAGCATCACTGATTGGGGAGGAGGAGGAACTGACACAAAATCTAGAGACTAGCAGGTTGGGAACACACTTGCAAATAGATTGGTGATTTACCATTAACAAAAAACACATTTCATCGAGTTCATCTATCATTACCTAATTTAAAAAAAGACACCATGACCCAATAATTTTCTTGACAGACACCAAAAGACACAATATCATATCACCATATATATGTATATATAACCATATATAACATATTATGAATGACATATGGTAATAGATCCATTCATAGATGGATCTACAACATTATAACCATATTATAACCATTGAATTAACCATATTATAACCACATTATAACCATATTATAACCATATAATAACCATATTCTAACCATATTCTAACCATATTATAACATCTATGGTTCCATAAACCATATATAACCCTTACTAACCATTGAATTCCATTCAGATCCTCAGATCCTCAGATCCAGGTTGCCGCACACTGCCGTGGTGCGGCGGCAGGTGAAGTCGCGGCCCAAGCGCCAGCGAGGCGACATCGCCTCTAAAGCGTCTCGCGGCCTGGACCAGGGGCGGCCGTAAGGGATATCTGAGGGTGTTCCCACTATGGGATATGTGTATTTATATAGTAACACTACTACTACTAATAATAATAATAATAATAGTAATAATGTTGGTTCCTGATTAGTGTGTGCCCCCTTCCTAAACTATATCTGGACTCTCTTTAAAGTAGAAAGTCAAAAATTGTCTTCCCAAAAGAAAAACATATCCTCAATTAAGTAAGGATTTCAATTGGCTACAATTGAAATCTAATTACTATTGTTTTTTTGCCGATGAAGTTGTGGTATTTGTAGTACTTGTAGTACTTGTAGTACTTGTAGTACTTTTCAAAAAAAAGGGCTCTCCCAATTTTGTTTTGCCACAAAAGCGAACCCTCCAAACAATACATGAGTTTCATAATAATTTGGAAAAATGCCACAATAGCGACCCTAGCTACTAATCAGGAGCTAACATTAATAGTAATAATGATAATAAAAATACTACTAATAATAATAATATAGTAATAGACAATGGTAATAACAACATATATATATGTTTATTATATAATTGATTTTATAGATTGATACTAGAACTGTATCCAACAAGGTGGTACCTGAAAAGTTGGGAAAAACTGTGGAACATTTACCACGTTTCACTGGTTTAAAGCCTCATGTTCCTGCCGCTTCATAATTGTCGGACAGACCCAAATGATAGCACAGAATTTGAGGAACCAGGATGGAGTTGTAATTTGTTGCTAGTATGTCTTAACATCATTTTTTTTGAACCTAATTTTGACCTGTACCCATAATCAACTTCAAGAGAAAAGCCTCATCAGTACAGGTAAATGGCTTTGTCTGAGCATGAGATATGATATACCCGCTTCCAAATGATTTGAACATCATCGATTTTCCCTTACGAAGAACTATTCTGGGGTGTACACCAGGTTCGGACAAACACAGTTATCAGAGGTTCATCTGTAATGATCGAGGGATTTGTCACTTAAATTTTTGAGGGTTTTCATGCGCTTAATATTACTTGGGGAATTCTGATGAGTAAGTTGCCTTTGTTTGCCAATATTTGAATATAATACATGAAGAAAAACATATATATATATATATATATGCATACTACCATTATAGACCTAGTGCAGGTTTAGGTTTCGTGATATATATATATATATATGTATGTATCGAAATGTTGTGATTTTGGAAAGGGGTGTTTCCTTCTCAGATTCATCCATCGGAGTCTTTTTCAGTTGGCTAGGCATATATTTGCTCTATCTACAAGCAGGTCAATGACACGGTTGTTATTGGCTGGGTAGCCCTACTTACCAATGGGACAGAGTCGCTAGGGATGACTGGGGTACCTTGGTCTCTCCCAGGTCCACAACATTATGGCTTCATAAGCCACTTAATGATTCAGTAAGTTGAAGGATCATCCCAAGGCTTCAACATTCGCGTTTTGTTAGGCGACGTCATTTTGGGGATTCCAGTGATTCAACGAGCGTTGTGCAAAGATTTCATCAACCACCAAAAAAACAAAAATTACTTTACTTCGAGTGATCCCCACCATGACATTTATCGATTTGTTTCTGGCAAATCTTCTGGCATTCTATCTGACATATCTTCTGGCATTCGATCCGACATTCTATCTGGCATATCTTCTGGCATATATTCTGGTATATCTTCTGGCATGTCTTCTGGCATTCTATCTGGCATATCTTCTGGCAGATGTTCTGGCATATCTTCTGGCATATCTTCTGGCATTCTATCTGGCATTCTATCTGGCATATCTTCTGGCATATTATCTGGCAAATCTTCTGGGATTCTATCTGGCATATCTTGTGGCAGTCTATCTGATATTTTATCTGGCATTCTATTTGGCATACCTTCTCGCATTCTATCTGGCATATCTTCTGGCATTCTATCTGGTATATCTTCTTGCATTCTATCTGGCATATCTTCTGGCATTCTATTTGGCATATCTCATGGAATTTTATCTGGCATATCTTCTGGCATTCCATCTGACATTCTATCTGGCATATCTTCTGGCATTCTATCTGCCCGTTGAGGTCCAGCAGTGCACACTGAGCTGGGGAGGTCCCCGGTTGAGATTCAGCGGTGCACACTGCGCTGGGCAAATCCCAGGTTGAGGTCCAGCGGTGCACACTGGGCTGGGCAGGTCCCAGGTTGAGGTCCAGCGGTGCACACTGAGCTGAGACGGCCCTGGTTGAGGTCCAGCGGTGCACACTGAGCTTGAGGTCCAGCGGTGTACACTGAGCTGGGCAGGTCCCAGGTTGAGGTCCCAGTGCACACTGAGCTGGGAAGTTGGCAAAGAGCTTGGCGAAGAGAGTTGGCAAAGAGCTTGGCGAAGAGTTGGCAAGGCGGAAGTGGAGGTGGAAGTTGATGCAGACATGGTCGAGGAGAAACTAGAGGGGGAGGAGGAGGAGGACGAGGAGGAAGAGGAGGAGGAGGAGGACAGCTAGCCGAGGACGAGGAGGAGGAGGAGAACAGCTCTGATAAAATCTAACAACCCTCATCTGGCAGGTGGGGAAACAACTATAAATCAGGTAGATCAGATATAATAACATGCTGAATCAATAAACATGTTGGTTTACCTGGTGACATTTCATCTACCAGATTGTTGCACACTTGTAGATCAAGTATCAATAAACATCAAACTATCATGGAGATGTGGCAACACTCTGGATGGGATAGCATGGCAATGAAGCAAAGGCAAAGGAACATGCCCATGCAGAAGTGTCTCGGGACATGAACAACAAAGAAACACCAGTGTGGCTCCAAAGCAGAAAACAAATTTTGGAATATTTGATATCATTCGATGGTAATAATATATATATATAAGAATATATGTAATATAATATGTAGTTATAAATAAATAAATAAATAAATAAATATATATGCTCAGCCCCCCCCAACGACCCCCCTCAACCCGCCATCTGCTTCACTATGCTTGACTTGTGTCTGCACAGAACCACGTTGAAGTCACCAACGAGTCGACCCTGCCGCAGCAGCATCACTTTTGCTAAGCTGAGGTCTTATGCTGCTGTGAAAACTGCCTCTACGCACCAATCGCTAATAGGAAAATTTTTGCGCTTGAGACTTTCCTACCAACATTTTTTTTAAAATTTTGAAAGACTAGTATATTTTACATTGCATTTGTTTACGGTAATTTCTATCCTCCAATCAGACGATTGGTGCGATCGGATGGTGGAGGAGTCCTGGAGCGACTCTTACACCCAAAACTGCCATAATCTATGGCACCACCTCCGGGGCGCGCAGGGTTGCGGACACCAACAAATGGAGGTGAACTACTACGCTGACGCGAGAAATCTCCGTAATGGATGGCCCTCCCATCAGGCCGGGCAGGGTTTGGAATACATTCCGTCCCGGGGCGCGCAGGGTTGCGGACACCAACAAATGGAGGTGAACTACTACGCTGACGCGAGAAATCTCCGTAATGGATGGCCCTCCCATCAGGCCGGGCAGGGTTTGGAACACATTCCGTCGCCTGTTCTGAAATAGAGCCACTGCTCACTTGCTGGTTGGACATGGTCGAGGCGAGGCGAAATTGAAGAGGGCACAGGAGAAGTCAGCTGACAAGCCAAAAAGCTCGAGCGTTATAGATATTTGTCCAGACCGCGAAGACTAGTGCGAAAAAACTACAGTACACACCGCCAGCCCCATATAACCTAGGGGCATGCAAAGAGGACTATTGTACATTAGACAAATTATACGTATTACATCGTATCACTATATTACACTACATTTTGTTTTTTGTCAAAAGACTATGACGTTAAAAAGCAGAAACTAACGGTTAAACAGCAGGCATGCAATTTTTTGGTGAAGATTGCGCAGTGTAAGTTGTAGCTTTGAAGATTCTTCTTGAAACAGAAGAGAAAGGTGGACACATGTCAAATGCCATTGTGTTAAGGAAGTAAGATATATGAACTCATGTTTGACGACAGGAGAAGAGCAACTGCAGCGAAGAATGCAAAGCGGTGAATCTTTTTTGCATAGCCAGTCTTTGATCAAACGCGCAGATCCTGGGTCGAGGCGAGGCGAAATTGAAGAGGGCACAGGAGAAGTCAGCTGACAAGCCAAAAAGCTCGAGCGTTATAGATATTTGTCCAGACCGCGAAGACTAGTGCGAAAAAACTACAGTACACACCGCCAGCCCCATATAACCTAGGGGCATGCAAAGAGGACTATTGTACATTAGACAAATTATACGTATTACATCGTATCACTATATTACACTACATTTTGTTTTTTGTCAAAAGACTATGACGTTAAAAAGCAGAAACTAACGGTTAAACAGCAGGCATGCAATTTTTTGGTGAAGATTGCGCAGTGTAAGTTGTAGCTTTGAAGATTCTTCTTGAAACAGAAGAGAAAGGTGGACACATGTCAAATGCCATTGTGTTAAGGAAGTAAGATATATGAACTCATGTTTGACGACAGGAGAAGAGCAACTGCAGCGAAGAATGCAAAGCGGTGAATCTTTTTTGCACAGCCAGTCTTTGATCAAAGGCGCAGATCCTGCAACATCTGCCCAGTGGCATCCCAAAAATTCTGGGAACGGTGCCAGTACGTCCACTGCGCTGCTCGAACTTTACGGGCAAGCGCAATGGACCCGACCTTACGCGGAGCATGTTTCAAAGCTGCGCGCAGATGGCCCCAGAAGCGGTCGATGATTTGCGTACCTGCTTTCACGGTTACGCTTTTGCCATTTGGCAACTTGTGTTTCCACACTTTGGTGTAATGAGGCTTCACCCACACAGGCTTTCCCTTCACGAGCACCTGCTTCTTCTTGTGCACTACGTTGTCATGCACCACGCCGGACAATTTCATCTTGTAGGTCTTGGCACCATCAGTATGCAAGATCACATCACGATTCTCCAAGAACTTATGAGCAATGGGTTTCCAATCTCGCTTGGTGATTGGGCCTGGACCTGGCGAGCGCACAGCGGTAGTCTTTGGAGGGAGGCGGAAGAGAACCAAGGTGCTAGGCTGGCCCCGCTCGACAATGCCACCCCACTGCTCTCACTTGGCCCTTTTGTGCTGTAAGTCAACTTCCTTGCCGATATCAACTTCATCCGCCTCAACATCACACCATTTGTGTCTGGCTCCGAAGTGGATTTCCTTCTGTTTCTGGAGGACATGACGGCTGCGAGCAATCTCAAGGACAATTTCATCTTGTAGGTCTTGGCACCATCAGTATGCAAGATCACATCACGATTCTCCAAGAACTTATGAGCAATGGGTTTCCAATCTCGCTTGGTGATTGGGCCTGGACCTGGCGAGCGCACAGCGGTAGTCTTTGGAGGGAGGCGGAAGAGAACCAAGGTGCTAGGCTGGCCCCGCTCGACAATGCCACCCCACTGCTCCCACTTGGCCCTTTTGTGCTGTAAGTCAACTTCCTTGCCGATATCAACTTCATCCGCCTCAACATCACACCATTTGTGTCTGGCTCCGAAGTGGATTTCCTTCTGTTTCTGGAGGACATGACGGCTGCGAGCAATCTCAAGGACTGTAGGGGGGGGGGTGACCATATATATATATATAAATAATATACATGATATACATAATATACACGATATAGAAGTGAGGCCACCATGGAGCAGCAATCTCCGTCCTCTCATAGGCAGCAAATTCATCGCCCGCAGCCTCGAGCAGGTCGTTTTCAGCATAGGCTCACTCTGGGGAAAGCTAGGCGATTTTTAATCACTGGTTAATATTGGTATGTACTGTGGGGTATAATGGGACTTACCCTCTGAGGCTGGGAGTCAAACGTGGCAATGACAAATCATCTACCAATGGAGTAATATTGATGATCATAAGCTGGCTGATTAACGGGATGATAAGGATGTGATCGGCATAAATAATTGTTAATAATGATGATCAACCAGAATCAACCAAAATCAACCATGATCATAGGGATATGTTGGACTAATACTAGTTGATCATAGTTAGTAATATGATTCAACGAAAAAAATGATCATAGGGATATAAATTGGTATGTACTGTGGGATTTAACCAACAAAAATGGTGAGATAATGGGATATAATAAGCATTTCATGAGGTATTGGGTATAATGGGACTTACCCTCTGAGGCTGTGAATCAAACGTGGCAATGGAGAATCATCTATCAAATTCATAAATGGGGGGGATTTCCAGCAAACTATGTTAGATTACCAGAAGGTATGCATGTTTATTAATCCAGGGCTGAATTTCATGAAATTCTAACCAATAACCCAATAGTTACCATAGTTGTATAGCTCATTTAATTTATTAACTATGATTCAACTGGGCTTTATGCTAGTTATACACATAGATGGGCCAACAATTCTCGCGACGGATCTATCTGTTAGCCCACCTTGACCACCACTATATGTCCCAGCCCAGTGAAACCGTAAAAAAAAAAAACACATGCACTGGGAATATGTGTGGGAAGTCTTAGGAATATAGATCTGCATCATGATGATTTTCGAGTTGTGAGTTATGAGTGATGAGTTATGAGTGGTGAGTGATGAAGATGAGTGATGAGATGTGAGTGTTGAGAGATGACAATGACGTTGACGTTGACGTTGACGTTGACCCCTAGGCTGTGCGTTCGGGTATTCCAATGCCAAAAGACCACAGTTCAAAACAAGCGCCATTGTTGTGCCATATTTTGTGTTCTATGTTTTGTGTTCCATATTTTACATGTCCACACCGTGAGGTGCAAGTAAATTGGTGTCTTTGGCAGTAGAATTAGCGTGTAATTCCAAAGTAATAATGCTGTAATTAAGAGCATCCAAAATGCAAATCATTATTAGACAGGACTCTGATGCATTAGTGATTTAATCATATTTCATTGGACACCTCAACTATTTAGACAGCTGCACAATTTCTGGGTACTCGCAACCATCTGAGAACTAGCATATCTGCTGAGTCCTTCATAGATTCCTTTCTGAAAATCTGAAATGGGTAAATCATGGTAAATCCCTACTATTCCCTATGAAAATGGATTGATTTGTCCAATCCCCGTATATCAGGAATCACCAGCTTGACGATTTCACACCGCCAACGCCGCCACCAAGGTACGGCACAGAAGAGGGTCTCCTCACTCTGCCCAGGGCCTTGGAGACGTCCATGGGAAGAGATTTCTGGTGCCAGCATGGCCACTTTGGCTCTCCGGGGAAATCACCCTGGTACAACCAAGCAGTAATACATCTATATAAGGTCAAAAGCATGGCCTGCAGTCGATCTGGTGTCTGCAAAGTTGTCGAGGTTTGGCCACTGGGAAGAGCATCAAGAGCCCTGGTATGGCTACATCATCCCATCCCAAAGCAACCAATACATCTGAAGGCAGGAGATTAATTTCTTGACCCATCTCCATATCTTGATACATTTTGCGCATGCTCAAGCCAATCCAAGATGTTTCAATGCAGATCTGAACAAATTACTATACAAGTCACGTACATGAAAGGTTCGACATTTTTTTTGGATAGTTTCCTTAATATAAATCCATGTGAATGAAGACAGCTCAGCCCCCAAAAAAATCCATCAATCCTTCCTTGGGCGACCGCTCCTTTTGCAGCTGTGCAGGGTCTGCAGCGAAGTCAGTGAGACAGCCAAACTGCCAACTGAGAGATCTTTAAGATCTACTGGTTTGAAGGATTTCTGATTTAAAGATATGTCAAGATTTTTTTTAAATGTAAAGAAACACGACTTTTCTGATGTGTTTCCCTCAAATCAATTTTTGGATCCACATGTTCGGCCCTTAAAAAACACATCCCGACACCCACCATGATGCGCAGCTTGCTGTGTCACTGATAGATCCAGCTGAACAAGTCGCGATGGAAGCTGGCTGCTTCCCCTGGTCCAAAGCATCTAAGCATGCTCCATCAATATACTGATGTTCGATAAGGATTAGGTTGGCTCAAGCTCACCTTTCATATTCAGTCTGCAACAACAGGCGCTGAAAAAAACACCCCTGGCCTGAATCCTAGAGTTAATAAGGTGGTCTATAAAAAAGACATCGACGCGGCGCTTTTGAGTGACTGCTACGAATTTTAATCATTGCTGTCAAGGATCACCCATGGATACACATGGCAGAAGCAACCCTGCTGAAAATTATTGACTACAGTAATTACCTGCAGCGTACTTTGGGGCCCTTGTCCGTGCGATTGAACACTTCTAATTCTATACTTGCATGTGTACATTTAAATTAATGACATAGCACAATGATCTGTTGTTGCGTTACATGTATGTACAGCATATGGTGTATGTATGTATGTATGTACGTATGTATGTACGTATATATATATATATATGTATGTATGTATGTATGTATATATATGTATGTATGTATGTATGTGTGTGTATGTGTGTGTATGTATGTATGTATGTATGTATGTATGACTGTCTGTATGTGTGTATGCATGCATGCATGTATGTATGTATGCATGCATGGATGTATGCATGTATCCATGTATGCATGTATGCGTATATCCATGAATGCATGTATGCATGAATCCATGTATGCATGTATGCATGTACGCATGTATGTATGCATGCATCCATGTATGCATGTATGCATGTATGCATGTATCCATGTATGCATGTATGGATCATTTATGCATCATGTACGCATGGATGCATGCATGTATGCATGTATGCATGTATGTATGCATGTATGCATGTATGTATGCATGTGTGCATGTATGTATGGATGTATGCATGTATATATATAATTTGTAATATGTATATATATATATATATATAACAATATATATATAACCATATGTATATACATAATTTGTATATATAAATAATGTATATATGTATAAATATATAATATGTATAAATATATGTATATATATTATCAGTCTATATATATATAATATGTGTATATATATATATATATATATATACATACATGTTACGTGTGACATGACCAGGTATAGTGAAGTGCATGTCATACACCTATTTACCCAGATTCATCACAATAAAGTAGTGCGTGTATGATATTTACCGACATACATATCAAACACGCAGCAGCTTCGGGTCTGTCACCATCAACTGCGCTTTGCGCACTTGGTCGACATGGCAGCCGGTTGCTCCTACGAATTGATTCTCACAGCCATAGGGTTCCAAGAAAAAGAGTTGTGCAGGACCTGTCAAGAACCTGTTGCAAAATCACAAAAAATAGGGCTTATATTGATATCCTTGGTGGTTTTATGGCAGATTTGATACCCTGTAATATGTCGAAAACAGGAGGAACACATATTCCGAAATAGTTGATGAATGTGGAGTCCCAGAATGTACAATTGTGTAATCCTTGAGAAGTTCAAGTAGTATAACTCCCTGTCATCTTATGAAATCATCCAGAATTCTTGACTCGACGGACGCCCTATGTCTTCATAAACGGCCTAGCAGGTGATGGCATCACTTGGTCTTCTCAAAATGTGACCAGGCGAGTTTCACCCACTCATACAGCCGTGCAGTTCCACCACATGATTGTGGATCCCGTTGGAGATTGAAACTGCCAAGCTTGGGACTAGAACAGGTGACTTACCACTGGAACTTGACATGGAATGAGAAACATTACTCAACTCATTTCTAAAATCAGACGTTTCCTTGCATTTCCACTGTAGACACATCTTCAGCACCATTTCAAGTGATGTCCAACGCTGTCAAGATGGGAGATGACAAGGGCTGCTGTACCACTCTTGATTCTTCATAAGTCTTCAATCTTCAGATGAAATCGATGGGGAAAGGACTGAATTCTCAAGTAATATTTCAAGAAGAGTTGGCCAAATCCATTCCGCTCCATTTACTCAACTTCATTCAAGACACCTTTGGTGCCCAAAAATAGGGGAGCCTATATCAGAAATTTCACCCTTAAACTGGCCATAAAATGCCATACATAAAATCCCATAAAATGGTGGGTAGTCCGACATTTCTCTGCACATATGCGTTCGGCAAACTTTGATGGCTTAATATGGTTGATCATCATGTTTCCTATATATATATATATACATATATATACATATATATATACATATACATATATATATATGCGCATATATATATATATATGATCACATTACAATAGAGATTTCCTAATATCATACAGCCAGCCAGATCCTTTCACCGGTGCATCGGAGGTCTTCGTTGCATGATGTCCAGAAATGCATTGCTCGCCGGTGCCGCGCCGCCGGGTGCGGGTGCCGCTGCAGCCGCGACCTCGGCGCCAGGGACGTCCACGTCGAGGATTTCCACTTCGCCGGCGCGACCGATGACGTCACAGATGAGGTAAAGCTCTCTTTCCGTCGGCACCTGAACAGAGTGCCACGCCAGACCGCGATTTTTGCCTGGAAAACTGAAGAGATATGTTGAATACATTGAAATGTAATGACTTTATATGGCATAAATGACATAAAAAAAGATGTACATCTGTAGGTAGGTAGATGTGATCACGCACAACATCTGAGTCCACTGGAAACTAAGAGCTGGAAACCAACACATTTCAATTAAAAAAGCAGTAAAAAAAACTTTAGATTCCCCAGTCATACTGGATTATCTGGATAATCACCACCAGAAACCCAGGCAGTGTGTTGCCTCAGAAACATCGACGTCTAAAGCCCACCTTGATCGTTTCATCCAATTTCAGGCAACCCACTTCCTTCCCGTTCCTCGCCAGGGATGGTCCGGTCAATGAGGGGTCAAAAAAAACTTCAAAACACGGGTCATTTGAGGGTCCCAGCTAAGTTTACATAATATGTATATATATATATATAAATAATATAGGTGTTCATATATATATATATATGTATATATAGAAAAATAATATATAATATATGAACACATACTTGTATGTACAATGTATACTTGTAAAAAATATATATATATATATAATATACTGAATATATATATATATAAACGCATTTGTTAAAAACATAACCCCAGCATATGCTCAGCGCAGTGAATTGTTCTTTCCATTGGGTAGGACATCCCTTTGATCCCATTGTGATATATATATTGTAATATCTGGGTTGATATATTGTAAGCCAAATTGACAGCTAACAATAGAAACTCAACAAAACAAACAAGGGTTTTCGCGCAACATTCAGGGATTTGGTAAATGCTCCATTTCCTATTAATTACTGTAACAGGACTATCATAGACTTTAAACATCACCAAAACATATGGTGTCGCGAATCCCTCTAACTTGGGAAATTCTGATTATTCCGAAGCCGGAAACACATATCATTTTTGTTGATGATTCCCAGGAAAAGCATCATTCCCTGGCGAGCATTGCTACAATTTACCCAGCGCCAGGGATGGCCATGGTTTTTCATCAAGGTACTGGTAGCCAACGATCTCGCTACCACCGTTGCGGATCTGGAGGCCGCAGGTATCACCCCATTCCTCTCGACAGGAGGCTGATTTCCATGAGAATTTCTTCTGATGTACCCGGCCTGGTAAACTAACATAGCTATTGAACATGGCCATTTATAGTTGATTTACCCATTAAACATGGTGATTTTCCATGCTTATGTTAGTTTACCAGAGGGTAAAAAGCAACAACAATCGAACCATGGAGGGTCACTTTGCAGCTAGGAATATGCCCCAGCTTTAACTCTGGTCAAAGCTCTCCCCAGTGTCTTTGATGGTCAGATGGCCTGATAGAATCAAGGAACACCAAGACAAGCCAGCACGTGAAGAGTGTTTAGTCGGTTTAGCATTGATTATCAAAAAAAACATGGTATTGTGGGTAAAAAACATGTATCTTCTTTTTGTAAACTTGGAAGCTCTTATGGTTGAAAGTCTGAGATCGCAGAACCAACATCTGCTAAAGAATGTCAATGTCCAGTCTCGCCGGGAATTGTCTTCCCACATACTAGACAAGAAAGGATCTTTGAAAAGATCCGTCAGGAACTGAGTCCTGTAACATGCAAACCAGCCTAGACAATTAGACCTAAAGTAGATCCCCTTGTAGTACTTCTCGGCGAAAATACAGATTGTGGCAACCGTGAAGAAATAAAATCATTGTGTTTGGGGTTCTGAGCTTGGCCCCGTGCTATGTCAGAAAAAAGCAGGTACGTGCAGTTGATCAGACTGCATATCCTCT